AGGAAGGGGCAAAGTGGCTCAGATCTGTGAAGGGTGCTGTTAGAGAGTTTCCAAGTATATGGTCCATATTGGATACCCATGGTTTAGACTTTTGAAGACTGTTCATACAAATGTATAACCAAGCAGAAACATATCCTGGTCAGAGCACAGGTTCTAGTTTTCATTTTGAAAATAGTCACTGTAGATCTAATAACTAGGCCTTACCCTCAAGGAACTTAGGGTCTAATTTGTAGCCTGAGACAGATGAACAAGATGATTACTATGAAAGCACAGAACGGGACAGCACAGTCTGATCCAGAGCTCAGAGGCGGGACAGGCCACGTGGATGGGGGTGACAGGGAGAATTCCTGGAAGACGAGCTCAGTGGGTTTGGCTAGGTGGAATGGGGGCAGGGGGAAGACATTCCAGGAGAAGCAGCAGCACAGGCAAAGGTATGGCAGTGTGAGGCGGGAGTGGAGAGGATTGTGGCTTGGCTGCAGTGGAAGCACTGGGGGAACAAGGCTGAAATGGTAACGATGGAGCTGGACCGTGAGTGTCAATGTCAGGCCCGGGGATTCAGTTCTGATCCTCACGCTCCCTGCTTCCCCCTCCAGTAGGGAGCCACTGAGGACTTTGGGAAAGGGATGCCGACAAAAAGTACCAAAATGTTCATTGCAGCTCTATTTACAATAGCCCAGAGATGGAAACAAGTGTCCATCATCGGATGAATGGATAAAGAAGATGTGGCACATATATACAATGGAATATTACTCAGCCATAAACAGAAATGAAATTGAGCTATTTGTAGTGAGGTGGATGGACCTAGAGTCTGTCCTACAGAGTGAAGTAAGTCAGAAAGAGAAAGACAAATACCGTATGCTAACACATATAAATGGAATTTAAGGGAAAAAAAGTCATGAAGAACCTAGGGGTGAGACAGGAATAAAGACACAGACCTACTAGAGAATGGACTTGAGGATATGGGGAGGGGGAAGGGTAAGCTGTGACAAAGCGAGAGAGAGGCATGGACATATATACACTACCAAACATAAGGTAGATAGCTAGTGGGAAGCAGCCGCATAGCA